TGAAAAAGTTCAGGTCTTCCAGGATTGCTGCTATTTTATCTTCCAAGGCATTTTTATACAAGTATGTAGTATCCACATCCTGTCAGGACATGTACAGTTTACTTGTTAGCTTGGCAGATCCTTGGAATATTATCGTTATTTGTCATCTGATGCTATTCATCTTCTGCAACTAGTTTTGTCTTACCTTCTTCAGAAGAACAAACTCATTTTCAGCTTTGTTTCTGTTGTTAATCTCATCTTCATACCTGTAGAAGCAAATGGAATTTTGTCATACAAATCTCTTGTTAACTTCACTCAGCATTGTTATTAATTAAATATATATATATATATGTAAATAATGAAAACAATTTCATTATTTGTCATGTCAAGTCAATATATATATTTTTTTTGTATATATATATATATATACAAAAAAAATATATATATTGACTTGACTTAACAGATAATGAAAATGAAATGAAACTAAATGAAATAAAATAAATTGAAGTACTAAAATATTACAAATAATAATTAGAAATCTTAAATTAAATAGAAATCTTAAAAGCAACAAAAATTAAGGCAAAAGCACATACAATTAGCTACTAAATCTTAAATATAACTCAAAATATAAAATCAGTTTATTCAAAATGTTATCATTTATATAAATGAAAAATATTAATATATTGACAATTATATTAATCACATTAAATAAATTATATTAATATATAGTATAATGACGGATATAACAATATCACAATTACTACAGTTGTTTAACTGTTAATTAATAATATAGTAGTATTACTATATCAACAATATAGTAGTATTAATAATATAGTTGGGTATTGTATCTTCAAATGTAAAAATGTTCCCGAATCTTTCTGTTGTTTTCTTTTCTTTTTCTTTTTTGATGATAGTGATGGCTAAAATCAAATCACCATGGTTTTACTGCAGTAAAAATAGATTCAATTTACACATGTCAAATTCTTAGCGTATTATAATGTGCATTTCTTGCCATACTAGTGTGAAGTGAACTACTACTACAGTAGCTACACGTGGTATTTTGGCTGAAACTGTGGTTAGCATGGAAAATGATTGTAAGTAATGTTGTTGTTTACATGATTTTACATTTAAATCTGAAATAATATTGAATAATGACTATAACTTGAAGAATCCTGAGACTAATGTTAAGACTTTGCTCTGTGCTAATTATAGCATGAAACTGAACACTAATGTCTGGTTTCGAGTCGGGCTCAAGACTGAAGATGAAGTGTGTGATTATGGACCTTTGTTTTTGTTCCTCAACCTGTGCGTGGACATTCCTGAGCTCAGTGTCCAGGTGTTCTTTGTCTTTGTTCACCCGCTCCAGCTGTGCCCGCAGGGAAGTGATGTAGGACTTCAGCATGGGCTCCAGTTTAGACTCAGGTTTGGTCTCCTTCTGTAGCAGCTGCCATTTAGTCTCCAAAAGCTTGTTCTCCTGCTCTAATTTACGGACCTGCGTGTGTTAAAGAACATTTTATTGCTCAAATGTTCCTCTTACAACATGACTGAGTGTTATGTTTCATTTAAGTATCAACTTTGATGTTTCTCTTAAAGTTCCTTAGGAGTAATAAAATACACAACAGACAATAGTTGTCATACAGTAAGAATAAAGCTATAAAATGAATGTGGATAGCAGTTCAGATCATTTGATCTTGTGAGAACGGAATGAGAAATATTTGAGTTCATATTCAAATCTCAGATTTCTGATAGCTTTGGCCAATCTGAGCACAGTCTGAGACATAGTAGAGATCTCTGCTGATACTCTATAGCCGACACACGTGAGATTGTCTTTCTTGGTCTTTTTCTAAGAAAACTTATTCTGTTCGCTCTCATTTTATCTCATTGCCATTAAGGAGAAACAATTGAGTGATCTCATTTGTGACTTTTCTCTCCAATATTTGGGTTAACAGATCTGGTGGCTGAGATTAAAATAATAATTAAAAAAATATATTTTAAAAAAGTTACTAAAGATAAAATATTTCTCTCCTATATGTTATTAAAAAATCTGGCTTCTAAGATTTAAAAAAAAAGAAAAAAATTCAGTACAAATAAATATTTTTTCTCTCTCTTTTCTACAGGTTATTAACAAATCTGGCTGCTGAGATAAAAAAAAAAAATCAGTGCGTACATACAAAGAAATAAATATTTATCTCCAACAGGTTATTAACAAATCCAGCTTCGGAGATTAGAATAAAAACTAAGACAAAACTCAGAATTAATAAAATAAAATAAAATAAATATTATTTTCTCCTTATTGACAGATCTGGCTGCTGAAATTAAAAAAATTAAAAATAAATAAATAAATATTACTTTTCTCTACAGGTTAATAACAAATCAGACAAACAGACAGACAGACAGATAAACAGATAGACAGACAGACAGACAGATAAACAGACAGACAGACAGACAGACAGACAGACAGATAGAAAGATAGATAGACATAAACAGACAGACAGACAGACAGACAGACAGATAGAGAGACAGACAGACATAAACAGACAGACAGACAGAGATAGACAGACAGACAGACAGACAGATGCATAGATAGATAGACAGACAGACACACACACACATAGATAGATAGACAGACAGACAGATAGACAGACAGACAGACAGACAGACATAAACAGACAGACAGACAGACAGACAGATGCATAGATAGATAGACAGACAGACACACACACACACATAGATAGATAGATAGATAGATAGATAGATAGATAGATAGATAGATAGATAGATAGATAGATAGATAGATAGATAGATAGATAGATAGATAGATAGATAGATAGATAGATAGATAGATAGATAGATAGATAGATAGATAGATAGATAGATAGATAGATAGATAGATAGATAGATAGATAGATAGATAGATAGACAGACAGACAGACAGACAGACAGACAGATAGATAGATAGACAGACAGACACACACACACACATAGATAGATAGATAGACAGACAAACAGATAGACAGACAGACAGATAAACATACAGATAAACAGACAGACAGATAGATAGACAGACAGACAGATAAACAGACAGACAGATAGATAGATAGATCGATCTCAGTAATGTACTGTATTATGAGCGATAAGCAGAGTGAAACAGGAAGAGAGAAGTCTCACCTTGTCGATGAAGGAGGCAAAGCGATTGTTGAGAGTTTTGATCTCTTCTTTCTCCTGGATCCGCACAGCCTGCAGGTCAGGGGCCAGCTGAAGATCCACGGGAGTTAGGAGGCTTGTGTTAATGGACACAGGCCTGATGGGGACTGCAGCCGGTGACACGTTCCCAAACCCGAAATACGAGTTCCCCTGCCGGGGGATCTGTGTTCCGGCACAGGGGTGCGAGCCCACTGAGCGGCTGCTGAAGCTGTTACTGGAGGAGCTCATGGTGGACAGACAGACAGAGAGATGGAGAGGTGTGTTACAGAGGGATGACAGGAAGACAGGTGGTGCTTCCTGGGAACTCGGCTACTTATACGCTGACAGGTGGGTGTGTTTTTGTGTATAAATGAGAATATACCAGCATTCCTCACTCTGAAAAACCTGTTCGGCCCACCAGTCGTCCAGAGCAAACATACTCCACATTCATGCACGCACACGCAACTGAAACAATGAGCAGAACTACTGTTCACAGATACGTCAAGAGATCTACCTTTGATTACGAGAATATTCCCTGTTCCTGATTGTCTGAAATATGTGATGAATGCACAGTAGGGCTGCAATATTAGCTGAATATGCTGTTTTCAGTTGCTTTTGCATGTATTTCTTCATTTTGTATGATTTTTGGTGGCATACTGTGTTCATATTGATTCAGTGCAATAATTACTACATTGTTTCAATACAGTTGATTCAATACAGTATCGAATATTATTTGCATTTATATTTATCGCTTCTGAACAAAGTGCATTGATTTTTCTCAAATCTTCACACAAATCTCTTACATTTGCTGTGTACAAATAAAAACATAATATTTGCTATTAAAAAAATGTTTTTCTCTTTTAATGATGGAAAGCCATTTATTACACACAATTATGTGATTTAACAGCAAATATGTTTACGTGTTGTTATGTACATGAGCAACCATTTTAAATTATTTATTTATATTTGCTGGCTGACCACAATAATTTTACAATAAATAATAATAAAAAAAGTAAAGTAAAAAAGTAAAGATTTGTTTAAAAATTAACTTTAATTCTTAATATATTTAATTCTTACATTTTTCATTCCTAAGAAATTTTTAATAAATTAATTATAATTAATTAATTTATTATGTATTATGTATAATACATTATAAAAGTAGATTTAATGCATTAATTATGCCTTGTTGTAATGCACCTTATAATGCATTGTACAGTCTCATGAATAATTGTAATCACAGTTAAAACAATATAACAATCAATTCATCCTTACACTATGCATTTTAAATTCTGTTATAATTTTTTACAACAAGATATAATGCATTACAACACAAAAAAATGCTGGGTATTATGTTTTTTATATTTTTACCCAGGTGCTGGGTATTATGAATAATTATATTGCATTATACCCTTTAATAACCCTTTATAATGCATTATATGTAAAGGCTTTAGGTAAAGTGTTACCGTATATTCTTATCTTTGCAATGTAAGAATTTTTTTCCTAATAAAATTCAAATGATAAATCAAATGAAATAAACATTAACTGAAATAAAATAAAATATACAGCTAGTTGCCAAAGCAACATTTCTTACTTTAGTTTAGTACTTGAGTACTTAGCCTACTTTTTGTTTAAGTACTTAAATTGAAGTACTCAAATAACTAAAACTAAATAAACCAAACCTAGAAACTAAAACTTAATAAAAAAATATTTGACTAAAATTGAATTTACTAAAATATTAAAATAAAGCCTAATGCAAAATATTAACAAAAACTATATTAGTATATTAATTATACTAAAATGACACTGCAAATAATAAATCAAATTCTGAAAATGCCTGCATTAACGATAAATCAAATGCCCAAATCCAATTTCATTTTATCATCTGGGGTAGCACAGACTAAAGCAAAAATGAAAATGGAATATAATTTGCGTTTGATAAAAAGATGTAGTCGCGTCAGTAGGACTGTTTATATTCCAGCACCGTCCTTTAGAGGGCGCTGTTGAGACGCACGTAAAGCTCAACTGTACGTACACAAATCTGCTTCCTGTTTACGTTTGTTGAGCGCTTTCTTAGTGCGAGAAGAAACAGCAGACGTCGCGAACTGCACCTGGAAACAGGCTCCGCGTTAGTTTTGTTCAGAGCCGTCGCTGTCCGTACGCCTGCAGCCGACCCTGTTTGTTAGACAGGCCGTTTCAATGCATTTCAGAGAAGCTTTACCGCCGCGCAGATGGACGCTGTTGATCTGTTTTCAAGCTGCAGAAAGGGCGACATTGCCAGAGTGAGGTCAGACAGCTGATGGCTTCTTGTTGTTGTTTTGGTTTGAAGTTTCGCATGTGGACAAATGTGCATGGCCTATTTATTCTGAAGATATTTTATATGCAGATATACACGAGATATGCATATGGAAATGACTTTGCACAGCCTACGTAATCTCTAGACTGATTTCTATTCAAGCAAGTGTACACTGACCTATATTGTCTGTATATAGTATTTAGTCATAACTGAGCAAATATGCATCACTTTACAATCTTCAGATAAATGTGCATATGTAAACAAAAGTGCATGGTCACTATAGTAATAACTGTTTATGCGCATCTGAGCAAATGTGCATGGGCTACATATATGCATTATACTGTATAAACAAATGCATTTCGTATTTGTATTAAATGATCTAGACATTGCATATGCTTAACTAAAACAAACCCTAAGTGGTTTTAATTTCTGTTAATGTATTCATATATATATAATCTAATCTGTGTTTAGATACTGTATGTACTCATGCAAACAAATGTGCTATTTTTTGCTACATGTACATATGTGCATGTTTAAGCAACGCTTAATCGTTTACATAGTTTGTGGATATTGCATATTGCATATCTGAACACGTATGCAAATATGCACAGCCTACCAAATCTCTTAATTAAATAAAAACTAAAATAGTCTTTATTTATATTTAATCAAATGTGCATTTCCTACGTAATATTGTGAGACTGCATATGTGTAGCTATATAAACCAATTTGCACGGTCTATGTATAGTGTTTGGAGACTGTATATGCGAATCTAAGCAAATGTGAAGTGAGCATAAACTATATAACTTTTAAATAATGTGTATGCATGTCTAAGCAGTTGTGCATGCATATGTGTTATGTAGATACTTCATGTACGTTCAGTAGTCAAGATGCCATTACATTACTGTATAGAATTACGCTTTTCAAACATCTTTGGTTGATGGATATGCTTGTAATGCCGTAAGATATCAGGGTTGTTTTTCAGTAGCAATTTGTTTGGCAGTAATGTTGTGAAATAGTCAGACACTCTATGTGGCCCAAAAATTAGAAGGAAAAGCATGTGAGTCTGACAGATAACATGTTGTCACTGTATTGGCCCACATACTGGAATTACTGTACTCGATCTGCTGATTTCTTGTGTTCAGTTCTGAATGTTTTATTATTATGTTGGTTGTAATGTATCTGATCTCTGTTTTATCGTCTGACGTTTCTTCCGTCTTCTCCAGATACCTGGTTGAACAGAGGGATGTAGAACTGAACATCAGAGATAAGTGGGACAGCACACCTCTGTAAGACTGCTCACTTAGGCTTATTTCCTTTTATTGTCTGCTGTAATGAAGTCTCTGCCTGATATCTCTCTCTGTCTTTGTCTTCAGGTATTATGCATGTCTCTGTGGACATGAAGAGCTGGTGCAGTACCTGCTTGCCAACGGTAAATGCTATGATGATAATTCATACCTGACTGGGGCATTATAATCTGTACTGTATAGTCAGATTTGCACGATTATGTTACAAGATAAAGCCTGAAACACTTAAACATGTCAAAAAAGTTCATTAAAAAAAGTAATTCTATCAATCTTTCCTAAAGAAAAAAGTTTTTCTTTTTTCAGCAAATAGTCAGTAAACGCAGGTGTGCAACCTTTAGAAAACTTTCAGATGGTGAAACAATTCTTAAAACTCCTCTCTATCTATCTATCTATCTATCTGTCTGTCTGTCTGTCTGTCTGTCTATCTGTCTATCATTTATTTATGTATTCATTAATTAATTCATTTATTTATTTTTTTGTATATATAGGGTGTGTGATTTTTGTAACCCTGTTACCAAAATTTGAGCATGTCAAAACACAACTTAACTTTATTTAAAATTATGGGACTAAATGTTTGCTTGCAGTTATTAATGAATCTATATTTCCTATTAAAAACAAAATATGTCTGCACTGCTTGTTTTTTCATAATAAGGTTGTGTGCAAATGTGGTACAGAGCTAATATAATGAATTTAATTTTAGTTCAATAGATTATGTAAGTTATGTCTGAGACCTGAAGACATTTGTCAAAAAAAAAAAAAAATCTTAATTTTTTTTCTTTAATTTTGTAAAAGTTTTTTTATTTTTTTATTTTTTTTTGTACAATTTACAATAATTTCATGAGCTTTTTTGGGGGGGCAATTATAAATTAAAAAAATATATATTTTTTTCCTGTAACCCTATTACCAAAATGTAATAAAGGGTTTGTGTGTTTTTTTTTTTGTGTTTTTTTTTTTGTGATATAACTGGACAGAGTTGAATTGTAGCTCAACAGATTATGTAATTTATGTTCTTATATTATAATTTGAGTTGTATTCAATCAAGACCTAAAGATGTTTGATTGCTTAACTTTTCATGCTACGTTAAATTTTATTTTAGATAATAGTTTTTCCATCATACATAATAGGTCTCACTAGAAATCAAATAGATTTTTTTGTCCTCAGTGATGTTTTTTTTTAAAGAAATGCACTGACTGTGTTATTAGTATTTGTGAAAGTGCATTACAGGTGTGTGTTTGCCGTTTCAGGAGCAAAGTGTGAGGCGAACACGTTTGACGGCGAGCGCTGTCTGTACGGAGCGCTGAGTGACCCCATCCGCCGCCTGCTCAAAGAGTACAAGTGCATCACGGCGAAGGCCATGCAGAGAGACTATTACGACCAGTTCCTGCAGACGTGAGGACCACAAACACACTCAAACACAAACCACGGTCACTTTCACAAACTCACTGATTGGTGCTTCCCCCTTGCAGGCTTTTGGAGCAGGGAAACTACAGCGATGTGACGTTTATGGTGCACGGTGAGATGTTTAAGGCCCACCGCTGTATCTTGAGTGCCCAATCAGAATACTTCGCCCACATGCTGGAGACCAAGTGGAGGGGGAAGAGTGACATTACCCTCAAACATCCACTGGTAGGTGCTGTTTCACTGCACACAAATCACTTTCACTGTACTGATTCCCAGTCTGCGTACTATCCATTCTGTGCCACATGTGTGGAAGCCCATTATTTCACAATTTCGGCTTTCTTTTGACTTTTTTTCTTAGAATTGTGAGATGTAAACATACTTGTGAGATAGAAACTCGCAAATGTGACTTTTATCTTGCAATTCCAAATTTACATCCCACAAGTTTATATTTTATAGTTCAGACCTTTTTTCTCAACATTTTGAGTTTACATCTCACAATTCTGATTTGATTTGTTTTTGTATTTTTTTATTATAAAAAATAAAAAAGGTTATTGTGAATTTTTATCTCACTATTCAGACTTTTTTTTGTTTACACTACAGAATTAAAAATGCATTTAATTGACTTTTTCTCTCACAATTGCAAGTTTATATCTTGCTGTTAAATGTATCATTCTGACTTTTTTTCCTCACAATTCTGAGTTTATAGCTTGCAATGACTTTTTCTCAGAATTTGGAGTTTACATCTTGCAATTCTGACTTCACAGAATAAAAAAAATGACTTTTTATCCGACAATTCTGACTTTTTTTCTTACTATTGCGAGTTTATATCGCACATTTCTGAATTTATATGTCATAATTCTGAGATATGAAGAACTATATGAGATATAAACTCAATTACCTTTTTTATATTCTGTGGCATAAACAGGTTTCCATACAAATGATATTATGTCAAAGGAGCCCAGATGGCATATTATTTGCGATGCATACTTTTTCATGCTTTCACAGAAATAAGAAAATTGGGAAATGTCACTTTTTTCTGAATAGTAGGTTATGCCACCTTTTTATAATTTCGGATGAAACACATGTTACATTTACATTGATTAATTTAGCAGATGCTTTTTTCTAAAGTGACTTACAGTACAAATGAGGAATACAATAAGCAATTCATTATAAAGGGGCAAATAAACACTAGAAGTGCTTATAATACAACATTTCAGACTTCATTTAGAACAGTAAACACTAGAACAGGGAGGGATCAAGAAAAAGTAAAAGCATAGGATTTTTCTTATTCATCATGTTTTCTTCAGAAGTTGTTAATGCTACTGTTCACATCTTCTTGAGCTGCTTTAATTATCTTCTCCCCAGGGCTGTCTTAAATTAAGAACAGACTTTTCTCTCTTATAACCTTTTATTTCAGCATGCTGAATGTGTGATGTGATCCTAATGTGTCAATTTTAATTTCCTTTTCCAGGTCAACCCTGCTGCATTTGGTGCAAACATGCGGTATTTCTACACTGGTGAGCATCAGAGTTTGTAGGTGGTGTTAGTACTCTGGTGGCAGACAGCTTTATTCTTCACCGTGCGCTGTCTTTTTCCAGGCCGTTTGGATATAGATGTGAATTACGTGGAGGACTGCAAGCGTTTGGCGAAACAGTGCAAGATCAGCGAGCTGATTGAGGAGCTGGAAGTGAAGTGCAAACAGGTCTATGAGTTTGGTGAGGAGTGTTGTGAAGCTACATTGAAACTCATAATGATTCATGTTAATGTACACCTTGAAAAATAATTAGCTTCACTGCAAGGTGTTAACAAAAAGTAGATAACTGCATTAAAGTGATACTACTGTTTTTTTTTTACTGTTTTTAAAAGTCTCTTCTGCTCACCAAAGCCTAAAAACAGAAATATTGGCAAATTTTATTACAATTTCAAATAAAGGTTTTCTATTTAAATATATTTTCACAATTCCTGTGATGGTAAAGCTGAATTTTCAGCATCATTACTCCAGTCTTCAGTGTCACATGATCCTTCAGAAATCATTCTAATATGCTGATTTGCTTGCTGCTCAAGAAACATTTCTTATTATTATCACTGTTGAAAACAGTTAATATATTTGTGCAAACCTTGATCATATTTATAGGATTCTTTGATGACTAGAAAGTTCAAAAGAACAGCATTTATTTGAAATAGAAATCTTTTGTAACATAAATGTCACTTTTGATCAATTTAAAGGGGTCATCGGATGCGACATGCACTTTTACAACCGACATCTGAGCCGCTGAAGACGCAGTGGATTACATTTATTTTTGAAGGGAATGCTCCCCGATCTGCCTAAATGTGTCTATGTTTGCGCGAATCATTCATGATCCAGCCTCATCTACAGAAGAAGTGAGTATAATGTTTTGTAATGAATCTTTGCAAATCGACTTTCCTAATAATGTGCTAGTTAGCAAGTTTCACGATGAATGCGGCTAAAGTAAACAGTCCCTCAGAGAGCGGCTCGGATGAAAGGGGCGGGGTCAGCAGAGCTCATTAACATTTAAAGGTAAATGCTACAAAACTGCGTGCTCTGAAAAGAGCTGTTTTTGACTGGGTAAAAAAGGTGTTTTTTACACTACCATTTAGAAATTTTAACCAAACTATGTTACAGACTTTTCATTAAGACCCTAAAGAGTCATATCAACTTGTGGAAAATGGGCATCCTATGACCCCTTTAATCAATTAAATGCATCTTTGATGTAATAATTTGAATAAAAGTAATCATTTCCTTTGAAGTTCTATCACTTTTGAACAGTGATGTATTTATGGGAGGTAATATGTTTCTGATTTTAATGCAGCTATGATTTATTCAAGAAATTACATTAGTATTTATCTTGCACAAAATATTGTTTAATGTTATTTAATGAAACCTTGCCAATTAAGTAATGTTAATATGTTGAACCATATTTAAAATGAATAAAAAAAACAGTGATGATAGCATAATTTTAAAAAAAAAACCACTACAGAAAATCCTCAGCGGTATTTATTTTGTAAGTTTTATTTATTTATTAATTTTTCCCCCTACAAAAAAATCAGTAATTTCAGGATTTTGGGTAAATTATTTAGTGATGAGTTGGTGAATCAGTTATTTTGCTGCAGTGAACCATCTAGACAAACTGACTTCTCAGCTCTCTTGTTCTCTCTCTGTCAGTGTCTAATAAGCCTGGGACGTGTGTGAAGGTGTTGACTCTGGTTCCTCATGACTTTCAGCTGCAGGATGGAATGGCTCTGCTGGCTGACAGCGCACTTCCTGCCGAGCTGCGGTTTTTTTAGAATTATGGGATGTGCTGTTGCCTAGCAACTTGTGGTTTAATTCATAATATTCAAATGCCAGTTCCTGTTGCCCTTTTGGAGCTGGAGGCTTTTCACATGAGGCTCCCTCTCCTCATGAAGAACAAATTTGTCTTAAGGACCTATAAATACTGTCAAAAAAAAAAAACTTTAACATTTTCTCATGAACTGCACATCTGGTGGAGATGAGTTTCTGGACGTAGTTTTTAAAAGCTTACAAAAATTGAATTGTATTTTTTTTTTTAGAAATTAAAATGTAAGACATCAGTGCATCTCCATACACTAATATTCAAACATTTGGGGACAGGACGATTTGTTTTGGAAAGAAATTAATACTTTTATTCAGCAAGGACACATTAAATTGATTAAAAGTGACAGTAGAGACATTTATAATGTTACTTAAGATTTCGGTTTCAATTTCAAGATTTCTGAGCTTTCTATTTATCAATGAATCTTGAAAACAAACATATTTAAGCAGCACAACTGTGTTTAACATTGATGATAATCAGAAATGTTTCTTATGCAGCAAATCAGCATATTAGAATGATTTCTGAAGATCATGTGACACTGAAGACTGGAGTAATGATGCTGAAAATTCAGCTTTGATCACAGGAATAAATTGCATTTAAAAACATATTCAAGTAGAAAACAGTTATTTTAAATTGTATTAATAGTTCACAACATTACTGTACTGATTAAAACTCTTGATGTTTGATCTTTAGGTTGGATATGGTCAGCTTCCTTTCGATCTAGCTGATAGTTTTCCGAGTTACCCTGACATCTGCTTCCGGGTGGAGGGCTATGACTTCCTGTGTCATAAGGTCAGTGTTTAACACTGATCATCACGATCCCTGAGTGTTGTAGGTAGGACCATATTATTATTATTGCATAGCCCACATGCAAATACTGTAAAGATATCAATCTAATATCTCTTGGCTACATTTTTTAATTACTCAGAATGAATTATTAGTATGACGGTTGTGCTTTAATATTATATTTGTGGTTTGATTAAAAAGGGTATTTGTGCAGATTAAATGTGTTTGTGTTTATGTGCGCAGGTGTTTTTCTGTAGTCGTAGTGATTATTTTAAGGCGCTGCTGGAGGATCATTTCAGCGAGGGTGAAACTCTGCAGACTCATCCCAGTATTCCTGTCATCACCCTTCATGATGTGTCTCACGATTTGTTTACAAGAATCCTTTACTACATCTACAGCGATAACACTCAGGTACACACAAACACGCTAACATGTACAATAAACACTAAAACTCCTCAATCAAGACTAGGGCTGCACGATTAATCGAATGTGATTGTCATGCGCAGACACATCCCATCAGCGGAGGATTGGAAGACAAGAAAGTTATTAAACTAAATTTTTCCGCAAACAAAACGCTTCCAAAGACACGTTTTAGTGTAGTTCTGGCATAAAACAACCCGAGATCTATCACTGTTACTGTGTGAACTAAAATGAAAACTGTTAAAAGTTCAGTAATTGAAATAAAGCAGAAGTAAAATAAAATAAAAAAAAATACTAAAAGTGTTAAGTACGAAGTAGAAATATAAAAACGAATAAAATTACTGAAAATCTAAAAATAAAAACTAAGTCAAAATATAAATAAATTAATTGAAGTAAAGCTGAAATAAAATAAATAAAAATACTAAAATAACTAAAAAATAAATAAAAATAAAGGTAAATAGACAAATAATAAAATAAAAAAATAAAACAATAGAAATAGAAATATTTATACAAATTAAAAAGAAAGTTGAAAATATAAAAATAAAAACAAAGTAAAAATGTGTATAAATTACATTTAAAATATGAATATATAAAAAATTAAATATGAATATTTTAATTTATTTTAACCTATATTTACTAAAAAAATAAAAATAAATCCAGTCTTTTTTAGATATGATTTTTATATGATTAGAGCACACTTTATAAGGGCATATTCTTGTACTTTTTTCTTCCAAGTTGACAAAAATGTCAGTCCAGGTTTCTTTCACCTTAAACAGGCATAATATAGTTTTACAGGACAGTTTTCCACTCTCTCTTTAAGGCAAGTCATCTTGTTTGATCATATTCATTAGCTTCATAAATGCAGCGATCCGTCAGATGTGCTAATGAAGCCTCTGTGATTGTCTTCCAGCTCTCTCATGAGAACATGTATGAGGTTCTGTGTGTGGCCGACATGTACCTGTTATCGGGTCTGAAGCGTCTGTGTGGCAGGACTCTGGCTGTGCTGCTCAACGAGGAGAACGTGCTGCACATGTGGAAGACGGCCAAACTGTTCCGGCTCTCGCGTCTGGAGGACCAGTGCACTGAATACATGGCCAAGTTCATAGAACGGGTATGTGTTCATTCACAAATATGCTGCTTATGATCAAAATTCACATAATTAATGTCCCTGGTGTTATTGTGGACCACTTATCCAATAATTTTAATAAAAAATATTTTTTTATTTGAATGATCAAAAAGTAAATGATTTAATATAAAAAATAATATTTTATATAAATGTAAATAAAAAAATATTGTTTATACATATAAATTGATGTGAATATAAAAAATATTTGTTAATAGTTTTATAAAATATAAAAAAAGCTTTATTTAATAATAAAATTATATCAAATTTTATATTGATATATATTTGTAGAATATAAATATAATTATTCTAATATAATTATTTTAAAATATACAATATGTAAAAAAAATTATATTCATGTATGTTAATTTTTGTTAAATGTCATTTTATATTCATGTAATTTATATAAAATAAATATATTGAAATCATAGTTAGTATTAATTAAATATAAAAAACTTATGATATAAAAATTATTTAATACAAGTATCATATTTGTATAACATATAAGATTTTTCAAATAATTATATTATAAATATTAATTCATTCATATTAATGTAGTAGTGTAAAAATATTTTTAAATATAAATAATTTAATAGAAGAATGTTTAATTTTGTATAAATATAATTTTGTATTTTTATAATATAAACATATAAAATATAGTTTTATATTGTAAA